GGTTTGATTCCCAGTATTACATACACAGAAAAAGCTGGAACTGGTGCTGTGGCTCAAATGGTAGAGTGCTAGCCTTGAGCAAAAGAAGTTCAGGGACAGTGCCCAGGCTCTGAGTTCAAGTCCCAGGATTGGCCAAAAATGAAAAAAGGAAAGCAGGAATCACAGAGGTATTTGTAGGCTCATGTTCTTAGCAACATTACCTACAAGGCAAAATGTGTGAACAATTTGACTGACAAACAAAATGCAGTATTGTTTTTGGTGGTTAATTGGAGATAAGAGTCTTAAGGACTTTTCTGTCTGGGCTGGCTTATAGCTTTATAAAGGAATTAGATTCTGACACCTGTAACAACTTAAGTAGTCTGACACAAATGTCTAGTAATCTTCCTTTAAAATTTTTGACTGTCTTGTTGTGTAGGTAGCCTCAAACCTGCAACTATCAGCCTCTCAAGTGCTTAGGATTACAGATGTGAGCTTCACACCTGCTCAGCATCCTATATCCCCCATTTAAAAATTTTTAGATAGAGTCTGATTATATAGCTCAGGTTAGCCTTGAACTGGTAGGCTCACGTGATCTCTCTACCTCAGCCTCCAGGTAGTTAGAACTACAGGCATGTGCTACTGCAGCTGACTCTTCCTAACTTTTAGTGATAGATACAAATAATTCTAATTTGACAAAAGAAAAGAGATATTCTCAAGAAATCTTAACAAAAACAAAATAAAGAAAAGCCTGGTACGGTGGCTTACACTTGTCATCCTAGCTGCTCACAATCTGAGGATTGTGGTTTGAAGTCAGCCTTGGCAATAAAGTGTATGAGACTCTTATCTCCAATAACTACTCAGCAAAAGCCCCAAGTAGCGCTGTGGCTCAAGTGGTAGAGCACTAACCTTGAGCAAAAAGAGGCTCAGAGACAGCGCCCAGGCCCTGAGTTCAAGCTCTAGGACTCGCAAAAGAAAGAATAAAATTAAATGAATAAAAAAACACCAATCGCCCACTTTAAGAGTTTAATGCTCCTATATATCTATATTTTTCTTTTAGGAGAGGAAAAGATTTCTCTCACAGTTTAAGAGCTTTCATTTCATCATGACAGGGAGGTGTGGTATAGAGCAGAGAGGTTCATATCATAGTGGAATTAAATAGTTTTTTTTTTTTTTGGTTGGTCAAAGGACTTGAACTCAGGACCTGAATGCTGTCCCTGAGATCTTTTGTTCAAGACTAGAACTCTACAACTTTGAGCCACAACTCCTCTTAAAGTTTTCCGGTAGTTAATTGGAGATAAGAGTCTCCTGGACTTTCCTGATGGGGTGGCTTTCAACCACAATCCTCAGATTTCAGCCTCCTGAGTAGATAAGATTACAGGCATAAGCCAGCAGCACCAAGCTCCAGATTTTTTTTAAACTAAAGCACCTTATAGTTTATGAGGGAAAAATGACTTGGTGTATTCCTGTTCTTGCTAGAATTGTGTTATTATTATTTTTTGGCAGTACTGGGGTTTGACTCAAGGCCTTTTGCTTGCCAAGCCTCCAGTCCTGCATTTTTACTGGCTAATTTGGAGATAACAATTTAGCACAGTTTTCTGTGTAGCCTTGAACAGTCACCCTCCAGATCTCAGCTTCCTGAGTAGGTAGGACCATAGGAATTAGCTAGCTGTTGCTTGGCTTAGCATTTTGAAAGCCATTAACTTTGTTTTGCTATGAAATGGAAAATGCCATTTTTAATGCAAAATTTGAAGAAGTATGAATACAAGTAGGATACAAAGAGTGCTAAGAACATGTTTGGCAGCCATTAAGTCTCAACAAATTTCTTATTGCTTTATCTTTCTCTCTCTATGTGAATAATTAGTTTTTTTTTTGTTTTGACTTTTTTTTTTTGCCAGTCCAGGGGCTTGAACTTAGGGCCTGAGCACTGTTTTTGCTAAAGGCTAGCGCTCTACCACTTGAGCCACAGAGCCACTTCCGGCTTTTTCTTTGTATGTGGTACTGAGGAATCGAACCCAGGGTTTCATGCATGGTAGAAAAGCACTCTGCCACTAAGGCACATTCCCAGCCCGAGGACATTCTTTAGTTTACAAAGAGGTTTTTTGAGTTGGTTAGTTCCAGAAGTCTTACTCTCCTTAGGTGATTGGTTCTTGCTTTCTCTTGTGTCCACACTTGAGTTGTTTCGGTTATAGTTAACATCTTTGTTAGTTTTTTTTTTTTTTTTTTTGGTCCAGTTGTGAGGCCTGAACTCTGGTCCTGGGCGCTGTCCCTCAGCTCTTCAGCTCAAGGCTAGCACTCTACCACTTAAGCCACAGCGCCACTTCTGGCTTTTTTTCTTTTTGATTATGTGGTGCTGAGGAATTGAACCCAGGGCTTCAGGCATGCAAGGCAAGCACTCTACCACTGAGCCACCTTCCCAGCCCCATCATCTTTGTTAGATTTGAGTGTTCATTGTTTTTTTTTATTTACTTGGATTGTGTTCACATCTGATTTGCTAGTTGTATTCAGGGAGGTAGGGCTTTGTGACAGGAGTTCCTCTGCCTCCTGCTAGCGCTCTAATAGAGACTCCAAATTTGGCCTTTTAAATGGTGGCTTCTCTGTTCTCTGGACTGAATCTACCATACAACATGGGCTTCATACTTTGTTACCCAGGACCTAAGCAAGTCAATTCATCTATTACCATAGTTACTTCATGTATCAGATAACCTCACTGGACCCAAAGAAACTTAAACACATTCTTTCACTTTAAAGAATTTAAAAGGGAAGGTGGCTCAGTGGTAGAGCGCTTGCCTGGCATGTATGAGGCCCTGGGTTCAATTCCTTAGCACCACATAAACAGAAAAAAACCACAAGTGTCCCTGTGGCTCAAGTGGTAGAGCGCTAGCCTTGAGCTGAAGAGCTCAGGGACAGCAACCAGGCCCAGAGTTCAGACCCCACGACAGAAAGAAAAGAAAGAACTAACTGAGAATAATGCTGGTAATCCTAAATACTCAGGAGGTTGAGATCTGAGGATCGCAGTTGCAGGCAACCCAGGCAGGAAAATCGGTGAGCCTCTTATCTACTACATACAATAAAACTACCAAAAGCCAGAAATGAAGCTGTAGCTGTGGCTCAATTGGAAGAGCGGTAGACTTTGGAACAGAGAAAGCACAAGGACAGCACCCAGTTTCAGTTTTAGGTTACACCTTCCCCCCTCAGGAGGACAGGCACCACCCCCACACACCCCCATCCACCCCTATCAGGAGGACAGGCACCACACACACAGACACACTGTTATACCAAAATTCGGGGACCCCCCAGAAGACCACCAGAGACCACGATCAATGTAAGCAACAAAGAGCCGGTTTATTGCAAGCTCGAGCTTGGTCCTCCGCGCACATGGTAACCAGTGACGCTAAGAGGCCCTGAGCATAGAATCAGGGCCGTTTTTATAGTATTGAACAAACAACTTTAAGGAACTTTTACATAAGAAATTACATGATTGGTTAACATTTACATTTAAAGCAAGCTAAACTGGGCAAATAATGATTGGTCTATCTTTACAGAAAAAAATGTCCTTGGTCCATAGCTTGACGAGGTTACCAGACCAACAGAATGCAACCCAGACCAACAGAATGCATGGCATGTCTCGCCCTGGGCTCTGAAGAATGGGTTGGTTAGAAACTCTCAGTCCTAGGTGGGTGGGTGGGGGGCAACACCACTTGGGGGCTAACACCTGCCTTGAGCAAATGCCATCTATGGCTCCAAGAATTGTGCATGGCTTTCTGTCATAAATTACTAGCATTGGGGCTAAAATGGATCACGAGTCAAGTCGCAGAACTGAGATGGAGTGTTAAACAAAAATGGAGTTGCTTATGTTTCTTAAAACATTATATTTCTTCCCTAGGGCCTTATTGCCTCGGCCTCCAGGAGGGGCGTTGCAGCTGTGGGGATAATTCTGAGGACTTTGCCCCCTTGGGTCAGGGCTGTAAACCCTGTGAAGTCCTTTACTAAGCAAGTCTAGGCTCCCACGCTGACATTCCACTACTGAGTAACTAAAACCAGTCAGTTAAAACCATACAAAAACCATACAACCATCTAGCACAAAGCAATTCATAAGAAGCAAAAATGGGTGTTAGGTGCTGTCATATATATATATATACACACACACACACACA